CCATGCCCCACCAGAAGAGCCAGCGCAAGCACTTCGATCCCATACCACGGTTTCGCCCAGAGGCTGTTAAGAAAAGGCACAGATCGTACATATGGCCCCCACATGAGGCCTGCCAACTCACTTCGCGACCACCCTTTGCACACCCTCATGATTCCCCGGTCGGTCAATCCACGGGTTCGGCCCCCGAGCAAACAGTGTTTTTTAAAGCGGAGCCCCTCCATGAGAAACCCCGGGGAAACTGGAGATCCATCGGAAGTTGCTCGGCCTCGTATAGGTTGCGGGGAAGGTTGCTGGGAGTTGTTTTCAAGGCACGGGAGACCAGCTCGCATCGATCCTGCATGTTTGTTTATGTGTTTGCAGGTGCGGCCGACGGTGTACGGCGACAGGCCTCGAGATCTGACGAGGCGGTCGGCGACGCCCTGAGTGATTGTAGCTTGCGTTAAGATTTGCAAAAGTTTTTCGAGATGGCTTACGAAGTTGGAGGCGCGCTGCAAGTTGACCATCTGTCCGCCGCAAGTGGCATTGGCCTGCATCAACACGGATCGGGGGATACCGTTTGTTAATTTTGGGTTCCATGGCCCACGGCCAGTGTTAAGATGTTCGTGGGGTGTTGGCAGGCTGCTTTGCCGCCGCCAGCTTTGCGTGGGTCTAAATCATCATCTCGCAAAACCTCCTGTCTCTAAGGGTACACCTGGTTGTCTATGTTGGCGACGTTGGTTCCCTCTATCAGGGGTAGACCATGTTCCATTGATAATGTTGTTGTTCAAGGGGTCGCAAACTTCAGCGCATGTTGTGATCAGTGGAAGCATGGAGCGCGCTATTTTGGTACAGAAAATTGTTCATGCACGCGCCATGGCGATCGTATCAATGAGGTGGTTGGACCGTTTGGTTGGCCAGCCGGTCCCGGCGGCGCCCAATTCGGCATTGATGAAATGGCGGGATTCAGGAGCAGGCGGTGCAAAAGAGGAATCAAATCTGTTTACAGGCGTCGAGCGTTTAAGAAGTGGTTGCCAGCTTCAGAGATGCAAGAAGGTGCTCGGCAGGCACCTTTGATTTTTGTTGTTGGCCCACCGGATGGGTTCAACTACGACGACGGGGGCAATGGGATTTCCGATTGCGAATTATCACGTGCGCGTCGCGCACGAGGGAGGGTCCATAGTCAAGCCCCCCCCCCAGCCACCGGCGCCTCACTTGCCCCTCCAGTATTTGGAGAGACTTCGCCTGGAAAGCAGCCGTTGCCCCTACATTGAGGCACACCATGGAAGCTCAAGTCGCGCCATCACATCACGCTCGGCCGCGCAGAGTTGCCATCCAATGTTGGCAAACTGTTTTGTTTGGAACTCCCCTTTCTCCAGATGGCGCCAAGTCAGAAGCCCGACGTAGACCGCGAAGCTCTCCCTGGATAGGATCGGACGGAGCACGCCCTGCTGGCGCGCCCCAGTCACAGGCGCCAGCCACCAGGTCCATCCCCCCATGAGTTCGCCACCAGTTGTTCGCCCGCCTCCGTTGGTGACCCCCTGTTCGAGGTCGCCATCAGGACGCGCCAGAAGCGGGCGGGGGAGAAGTTGGGGATCGGGGGAAGGCGCTTCGACGCGGCGGCCCTAGAGTTGCGCGAATCAACCTACATTGCGCCCGAGCGAGGTTGCGCTCGCCTGCTCGCCCGCAGCGGCGCCTGGACTAAGGACCGCGCTGAAGGACGCGCGTGCTGCATGAGGTGCAACCTCTGCCCGTTGCGCAAGAATTCTCGCGTCTGTTTTTTTCCGTTTGCCATCGGGCGCGGGCACGCTGTCGCAGTGATCCGAATGGGAGGCGGGCGCGCGACGACGACATCGCACAGGAGGTCTGCCGAGTCTCTGACGTTGGCAACGAGCGTGGAAGGCCCATTTAACCAGGGATGTTCCTTCATCCTGGCGACTGGGCCCCAGGGCCATGCACCGAGGGACGAGTGAGTCATGCTAGAACCCCAGCGGCTGTGCCCCTTGCGCGCGCGACGGCCCAGGCCAGGGTTTCTCGGGGCGGGCCGCCCCGCGCGCGCGTCATCTGTCCATGGCGGGCTGGGGAGTTGTTTCAGTGGGCCCCCAGGGAACACGCATCACCATTGTCTGCCGCGCAGTTAGCGCCCCCCACCCCCCCACCCCACCCCCGTCGATCGTCGCGGGCCGCCGAGTACAGCGCGCGCTCTGCTGCAGCCCAGTGCCCCGAAGGCCCAGCCCAGGGCTGCGTGGATGATGGAAGAGTCGCCAGGGCCCGCAACGCGCCCGATGTTGTTCGCTCATTGCACAAGAACACGCACGCGGGCCCGGCTGCCTCCACTGCTTCCGCCCACTGGCAGGGGACATGCGAAGTCAAGGCGCACGTCGTGGACCCGCCCGCTTTTACGGCCGAGCAGCTTTTACGCAAGCTCGGAGGCGCCACAGCCGACAGGGCCGCCAACCACGGCGCTTCGCCACGCCGCAGGATGAGTTCTGACTCACGAGCTCGTAGAACATTCCAGGGCCGCGTGTGAGTTGGCCCGAGCTCGATTTAGGCGAGGCCGCTCGAGCCCCACCGACGTCTCAGCAGCCTGCCCCCCTAGGCACTGCGCACCGGCGGGGGTGGCATCGAGGTGTCTGGCGGCGCGAGCGTCGCCCGCGATTTCGCCAGCTGGGGGCGAGCCTCTTCTGGGCGGCCTCCGCGGCGAGCCACCACCTGCCGCGCCGGGGCGACAGGCTTCCGGCCGCCCGACGCAGCGAGATTCCCAGCTTTTCGGGCGCACGAAGCGTAGAGCGCACGCGCGTCTGGGTCGCATCATGCGTCTGGGCAGAGTTGCGATCCGACTCAGACTCGCCAGAATGACGCGGGCAGGCTGAGGTTCACGCAGAGAGGCCGCCACCCGAGACACACAGGCGTCGTCGTCGAATGCACGCACGACTTTGACATGGAATATTCCGTTCATTCTGCCACCATTCCGACGCGCGGGCCAGACGAGAGCACGATTGTAGGGGCATTGCCACGTCGCTCAGGCTTCAATCAGCAGGGAGCTCATCTGCTGCCGGGCCAGCGCACAGCGACGAGTCAGACTAGGCCACTTCCTTCCTCACCTCAGTCTGCACTTGCGCAAGATCTGCATCGGGCCCCACCTGGCACAGGACAGCCTCGACCCTGGTGTTTCCAACTTTTTTGGCTGCTTCGCGGTCGGCTTGCCGCTGCAGCTCAGCGCTGGACTGCGGCGAGCCGCCAGGGGCTAGGGATATCGTTTTGGCGCGCGGGTTGCGACCGCTGGCTCGCCCACCCTTCGCCGGTCAACCTGATCGTTCTGTTTTGCGAGCGCCGTTGGGGACGAGCCACGCGCACAGCGGTTTTTTCTTGTCAGAGGTGTCAGCCCCGTCACCGCCACCAAGCAGTTGCGATCGATTTGCAGAAATTGGTTCGAGCTCCTGGACAGCGCGGGCATTGGCGTGGACGCGCCAGCATGCCTTTGGTCCTCACCGTGGAGTCGCCCCGAGGCTTCGGTTTGAAACTTGACGCTCGGCGGCCCGAGCTGCTGTCCCAACCGTTTCGGGTTGATCACATCAGCGTGAAACAGACACCCAGGAACGAATATTTCGAGGCCCCCGGCTGCAAGGCATCGCGCTCGGGCGATTGCACAGCAGGGGCGCGGCATAGGATCGGCAGGGGCTGGGCGCCCCTCGCGAAACATTCGAAACTCTCACGAAGCGAAAGCGGGTCGGTGACGCAACGTTCGGTTGCGCTCTGGAAGGTGGTTCCCCCCAGCAATGTTGCATATGATTGGGCATGTCATCTCACGCAGCGTGATCTGCAAAAACGCCAGGCTCGAAGACACGACAATGCGCAAGGTTATGGGTTGAGGCACACCGAAGGACATGAAAGGCGACTTCACCGCTGCCGGCTACATGGCCGTCACCGCTATGCTCATGGTCAAGTGCCGTGATCGGGCTGGGTGTGGGGTCGTGAAGTCTTACTGCGAGCTTACTATTGGGCTGGACACGTTGTAAGGTTTGGTCGGCGCGCGCCATACAGAAACGCGATGCATGTGGAGCGGCTGGCCACCATGCGCGGCCACCAGTGCCAAGGCAGATGATTTCATGCACGGGCATGGGAATTGCAGTTCAGTGACTTCCACGGCGGCGATTTGAGAACCAAGATTTAGAATGGCATGATTTGGGAAGATCCCGCACAAGCGTGATACACGCAGACTTCTTCTATCCTGAATTGAGGTACGGCCCTGCCAGCACATGCGTGATTTGCAAAGCAGTACCGTCATCCTCATAATCATATCAGCATCATCGTCAACCCCACGCCCGTCCTCACCCTGCCGTTGTTTGCGTCGGATTTACAGCCGTGCCGGAACCATTGGTGGACACGGGGCTCACTCGTCGCGTGGCCGGCCGAGCTGGCAGAACATTACCCCAAAGACCTGGGGGACAAGATCCGCTGCACCAGAAAACTCCTCTTATTCTTCCTCCCTCAGTGCCAGTCGCTACTTAGCTGGCCCCGTAACAGCACCCCACCAGCATAGCAGCCATAGCTGTGGCTAAGCCCAGCGAGTTTCGGGTCACCCAGGTCAGGAGAATTTTGGATAGCCTAGCCTCCACCTCCTCGAAGGCCTTCACGAGGTTGTTTCGGGGGTGGGTAAACAAGTGGGACCAGGCAGGGTGGACGCGAAGGCTTAAACCCCAGGACACCCGTGGCCCCAAGACCTTGTAGGCTTTAGATGGAGGCATCTTTCCCAACTAACGTCCGTTTCGGGCGACGGTCTCACGAGCCTTTTGGAATTCATGTGGTTTGAGTGTGGTTCGGGGGTCTCGCCGTGCTAGTGCGCGTCAGTCAGTCAGTCAGGCAGTCAGGCAGTCCTCATCATGCTCCTCGTCCTCCTCCCCCTCCTCCTCCTCCCCCTCCTCCTCCTCCCCCTCCCACTCCTCCTCCTACTCCTCCTCCTCCCCCTCCTCCTCCTCCGCCGCGTCCTCCTCCGCCTCCTCTTCCTCCTGCCGCACCCCGAGGTCGTCGATGCCGCTCATTCCGCGGTGGCATTCCCAGAGGCGGCGGCGGCGCAGCCGCCCGCGGCCTGCCCCGCCGAGGCACCGGACCGGCGGTCGACGGCCTCGCCGCGCGACGCGCGTGCCGGGGCTCGTTTCGGGCTCTTCGGCGCTGGCCGGACGCACACGCACACACCACACACACACACAACACACACAACACACATACACACACAACACACGCACACACACACACACATGCACACACACACACACAGCACACAGCACACACACACACACACACACACACACACACACGCACGCACACACCTACACATACACACATACACACACACACACAACACACAACACACAACACACAACACACAACACACAACACACACGCACGCACGCACGCACGCACGCACGCACGCACGCACGCACGCACGCACACACACACACACACACACACACACACACACACACACACACACACACACACACACACACGCACACACACACAATTTTTATCGTCGGCGGTTAGGCAGAAGGACTGCGCTGGCGGAAGAGCATTCGCAGGACACGCAAAGGCGGCTTGAGCCGCAATGCACGGGGGAGAGGAGGAGCGTCCAGCGAAGGCACCCAGGAACGTGCGGACGTACTATCGAGATTATATCGCCGATCTATCGGCGATGTATCGCCGACTCCAGGTCGACGGTTCCCCCTCTGTGCCAGTCCCCCCTTATCGTTGCCCCTCACCTCGGCCCTGTCGGTTCCCCTCCTGCCCAGACATCGTCTGTCGCGCTTCTTTCACAGCGTGGCTCCCCAGAGGGCTGGACTCCTCCTTTCCTCCTCCTCCTCCTCCTCCTCCTCCTCCTCCTCCTCCTCCTCCTCCTTCTCCTCCATCTCCTCCTCCTCCTCCTCCTCCTCCTCCTCCTCCTCCTCCTCCTCCTCCTCCTCTTCCTTCCCCTTTCCTCCCCCCTCCTCCCCTTCCGAGGGACTCGTTTTTCACCCTGGATTGTTTGTTGCCGGTCCCCGTGCCCAGTGAGGGCCCCCAGAGGCCGAACATTTGCGGAAAGCCGTCCGTCGTGTCTCCGTGAAGACGCGAGGAGGCCTTCAGCATCGTTTGACCTATCCCCATCCCCACCAGGCCATGGCATCTCAGCCTCAGCCCCACCATCCCACCACCCCCGCTGGGGATAGGCTGCTCGAAGCCCGAAGGGAACAGCCTGGAGGGGGGGGGGGGGGGGGGGCAAATCTGCCAGTGGGGCCCTGGCCACGCCAGTGGGGATAGGGGACATCGGGGGGCACTCTGGGTTTCTCAATAAGCGTGGGGGTACCCCCCCGACGGGGGTCCACCTCGCCTCGTCGTCGCGCCGCGACGGGGGTCGGAGCGCCTTCGGCTCGCGGTGGCTGCCCGCGACGGGGGTCGATGTGGGGCTGTCGGCGGGGGTGACGCCCCCCCGACGCTTATTACAGTGCCGTCTTTAAGACATGCTCCGCGTGCGGATCATGTAGTAAAAATGCAGGCATACAGTACTAAAAACAACGATGAGTTCATGCATTACTTTGTTCATGCATGAATCGTGTATTCAAAAAATCCGAGATGTTTAAAAGTCCCATGTATTCAAAATTGCCCTGTAAGAAACTCGGAGCAGACGATGCTCAGGCCTGGGCCGCCCTGCCAGCTCTCCGCGCCTCCCCCCGCCCAGGCCGAGGCGGCGCCCGCCGACGCCGCCCCCGCGGCTCCTGAGGAGCCGCTCGCCGCGCCCGCGGCCGCGGCCGCGGCGCTGCACGCCGAGCCCGCGGGCGCGCCGGCCGCGGAGCCGCCGCCGGCGGCCGCCGAGGAGCCCCCGGCGCCGGCCGCGCCGGCCGACGCTGCGCCGGCGCGCGCCGAGGATCGACTAGACGTAAGATCGGGGGCGGCAAAGAGGGGGGTGATGACTAGGGGGGGTGGATATCATGGCGGGGGCCATGATATCTCCCCAGATTTCATGGCGCCCCTTCTTATTTCATTACGTCCCTGGCCCCCCCGCTGGGTCGCGCACATGCCGCCGGTCATGATTTGCACCCCCCCCTCTTGGACACCCCCCTCTTGGCCGCTCCCGAGGATCGACCAGACGTAAGAGTGACCTTTCGCCGGAGTGACCTTTGGTGCGGGCACGGGTGGGTCCCCACAGGGCCGGAAGCGAAGCAGCAGCAGCTGCTTGCTCGCGCACAGGCGGGGTCCCCCCCGTGGCCCCCAAGAAGTCGCGCACCACAGGTCACTCTTGCCCAGGGTCACTCCTGCGTGTTGCCGAGGAGGCCGAGCCGTCGGCGCCCGCCGGCGCCGAGGGGGCGCCGGCCGCGGAGCCGCCGCCGGCGGCCGCCGAGGAGCCCTCGGCAGGGGCGGCGGCGGCCGAGGGCGACGAGGCCCCGGGGGCGCCGGCCGCGGCGGCCGAGGCTCGCGGGCCGAGGGGGCGGGGGCTGGCCGTTGGGCGTCGCGTAATGGGGGGGTCATAAGTGGGGGGGTGGCGAGGGGGGTCCGAAAAGGTACCCAAGCGGTACCTAAACGAGCCCGGGTTTGGGTTGACCCGGGTCTGGGTGCAGGAACTTGCAGGATTCTGCAAGGCCTGACTGACCCGGGTCTGGGTTGACCTGGGTCAGAAGATCCCCGACCGGGCCGAGGGGGGGGCTGGGCGGCTGGCCAACTGGCCGGCCGGGGCTCGGCGCCACGTGTGAAGCAGTGGCGAAGCGTCCTGGCGTGCCTCTAGCCCTACCGAACAGTGTTCTAAGAACCTTTCTGTGGCTTCCACGAGATGTTCTTAAAACATGTCTGGCGGGGGCTGCCTTGTTTTATCACACCGGGCTTATGTTCTAAGAACATTAAATCTTGTTATTGGAATAGCTTGGGGTTCTAAGAACATGTCGTGGTAGGACTATAGGAATGCCGGGGCGGTCGGTCCCTGCTCAACACACGTAGCCAGGGCCCAGGTTAAGGGGAGCCGGTGAGTGCTAGGGGCCAAGATTCAGAAAGAAGATGCGACGTTGGCGTTTGTGTTCGCGTGGGGGGGTATCGTTCTCGGTACGACCACTGGTCGACGTCTTCAGCAAGATCAAGTGCTTCCCCCTTTTCCCTTCGTCCTCGCCAGCCTCGTCTGACATTTCACCCTTTTCTTTATCCGTAGGAGATTGATGCGTAAGCTCTGTGGTCATCCAGCTGGATGACCACAGAGCTTGCGCACCATCGTGTTGCGAGCGCAATGTCCGTCAAGGACGTTCAGGTATTGCTTGTCGCGCGCAGTTGACACCAGTTGCCCCGGGAAGCCCGCGAAGGAAATCTTAATTGGTTTATTCAATGGCTTCGCTCATTCCGCCGGCCCGTATTGTGCTATCGAAGGCGTTTGCCTGCGCGTTCGTGGCCTCTTGGGCCCTCTTGGGGGCCGTTTGGGGGCCTCGTGCGGCCTCCAGGGAGCCTCCTAGGCTCTCTTGGGACCTCTTGTGGCCTCCTGGGGGCCTCCTGGGGCGGAAGGCTCGGATGGGTGGTTCGTGTTTCCACTCTTGGGCCCCTCTTGGGGCCGTCTTGGGGCCCTCTTGGGCGATCTCGGGCGCCTCTGGAGCTGTTTGGGAGCCCTCTCGGGCCGTTCTGGGGCCCCGGTGGGGGCCTCTTGGGCCGTCTTGGGGCGATCTCGCGGGCATCTTGGGCTGTCTTCGAGCGTCGGACAACCGAAGGGAAGTCGATTAGTTTTGCCTCTTGGGGCCCTCTGGGGAGTGCTCTTGGAGGCCTGTTGGGCCGTCGGGGGGGCATCTTGGGCGTCCTGGGGCGATCTTGTCGTGTCCCGGAGGCCTGCAGGACCATCTGGAGGGCTTCTTGGGGGCCTCTGGGCCACTCTCGGGGCTCTTGGGAGGCCCTAAGGGCGGCGCCCAGGAGCAGAACCATCTCTGATGGGAACTTGCTGGGAACCTGCCCAGGACCTGCTCGGTATACTTTTCGGCCGCGGACCCCCAGGGGCCGCCCCGCTCGCGCGAACTATGAATACTGGTAATCAACCACTTACTAGAGATTTCACCTCGCCTCGGGAAGCGCGCGAAGGAAATCTTGACTGGCTTATTACAGTGGATACCCATGCCGCCAAGAAACACCCTGCTTGCCTCCAGGGTGCCCTGGGTTTCTTGGGTCTCGATGGTTTTGCTATGGCAGGCGTGACGTTCCCATGCCTGAAGTCAGTGGACGTCCTCTGGTCTCAGGGTTGGGTTTCTTGTGGAAGGTTTCTTGTGGTCGAGCCCCCACCGTAAGATCCGTCCAGGGTGGGGTTCACTCGGGAGCCCCCCAAGGCGCCCGGGATGCCGGGGAAGATCTCAGCTGGCATGGGACCCCCCTGGAGGGAGGCGAGCCACCCCAGCACGCGCGGCGACGGCAGTTCCGGTTACCCATCGGTCGTTGAAAGTAGGTTTAAGTCGGGCCTGTCCCCCTACAGGGTGATTTTCGACGAAAAATTAAAAATACACCAAAAATACTCCAAAACGGTCGAAAAATATTCAAAAAATAGTCCCCAGACTATTTTTGTATTATTTTTTGGGTGTTTTTGATTTTTCGTCGAAAATCCCCCTGAAGGGGGACAGGTCTGACTTAAAAGTAGGTGTTTTTGGATTCCCAGATCCCAGTATAGCTTGGGCGCCTTCCTGCTTCGAGGATCGAGTGGTTCCGCCTCGTCCTTCCTCTCCAGGGGGCGGGCGGAGGCCCTGTCCACTTCCATCAAGGGCAGGAAAAACGCCCCTACCCTGGTTTACGAGGCGCTGTGCGCTGAAACTCCTGTGGGCCGACTGGGTAAACCCTGCGTGATGTGCCGCGTCCTGGCGGCTCCAGGCTTTGGGGGGTCCCAGGAGGTTTACAGACCACGTACCTGTAACCCAGTGTAGGGTCGTTCTTTCATCCCTCAATTCCAACGCCTTCCTACTTCGCGTTGCTGCCTACGTCTTCCGACCGGTGGGCAGCTATAGTGATTCTGCCCCGGGACGACGCGGGAGCCGGCGCGAGGCCCCGGCAGGGAGGGGCCAGCACCGGACGAGGCCGGCATCGCCAGGCTAGGTCTGCCGCGGCGAGGCGCCCCAGCTTGCCTATA